AGTTCTTAAAATGATTTTTTTAAATTAAGTGGGAAGCTACTAATAAGCAATAGTTACCAACGTGATCCTCTGTAATTTAAATTTATTTCTTAAATGATCCTTTGCCTAAAATGTCTATTAAATGTCAGTTAATTAGAAGGTATTTTGATATTTTCCATCATCTGAACTTAAACTAGGTTCTCTAAATGCTTTTTTATAATTCAGTATTTTTCCAAACTGATAATTTTTAAGTAAACATTTTTTTGAAAAAGAGTCCATGAGCCAACTCGGGGTGGATCTCTTCTTCTAAGCCTCCCACTTATTTAAAAAAAATATTTTAAGAATTTATTCATAGTTTAAATAATAAAGATCATCAAAATACCCTCTATTTAGCAATTACTCAATTGACATTTTATAAAGGACTATTTAGGAAATATATATCTCAAATATAAAAGACCTCGTTAGTACTTTTTGCTTATTGAGGATTACTCTGGAGAAAAACCTTATAGAAGAAGACCATTTTAAAAATTTACTCAAAATATTTTGTCATATTTGGTAAAAGGATTATTTGTAGAATAATTTTCAAAAATTGAGAAACGAATCAATAAGAAAAATATATAAAATTCTAGAAAATGTGGCTAAAGACTGAATTTGTTATTGATTAAGGATGAGCCCAATACTTTATGATCCGTTTGGTACACGAAATTGACGGAATTAGAATTGAATTGAAAAATTAAAGTTCTATGGAATTGATTTGAATGAAATTAAATTTTCCAATTCCAATTCATTTTAAACACTATCAATTCCAAATCTACATATTTTTGTATTAACAAACAGCAGAGTTAAAATTATTGTTCATAATTCCAATTCTGTAGTTTGAATTCCGTGTACGAAACCAAGCCTTAGAGTACATGTTTTCAAAGAGTGGAACCTTACATTTGACACTATAATATACACACTAATTCCTACATAAATAATTACTCTCTATTGTTTATGTGTGCCTGTAAGACATTAAGATGTCAAAGCTAGTGTCAAATTTGAGCTCTCCTAATTTTCTTGTAGTAATATTTCCAGAGAGTTGTGCTAGGATAACCCCACAATTTTGACAATACCATTGACGTCAAACTTTGCACAAACAATACCTTTCGGTGCCTCTATGCGTGTCTGTGCAAAGCATGAGGTCAATGGTGATGTCAAAATTGTGGGGTTACCCTACCTTTTTTGATTTACAAAACATTCCCTTATTGCCGTTTGGTGAACAAAAAAGCTAGGGGAACCCCAACTTTGACACCATAATATAGGGGAAGTGTCTATGTGTCAATGAGACGACACTTTGGCGTCAATGTTGGGGTTTCCCTAGAACGCTTCTCTGATGAATGATACAAAGGGCAAATTTTTCTATATATAAAAAAGATGGGTAAATTACTCGTTCCATGAACGTTGATACAATACTGGTATGACTTAAGGGAACTTACTACTCTTATAGGAGAAGTTTGTCACTGAAGCTTCAAAAAAACTGAGCCATTTGATCAAAGAGTTCAGTTCAATGATGGAACACATGAAGTCGGCTTGTCTTTTTACTGCTCCCTGAGGATGTCGCCCTGTCTGTTCACTGGAGATGCAACGGCAAGAGCAACCAATCCGCCCAAAACAGCAATCAACATGCCCAGAGAATTCACTAGCAATGCCTCCGTGGAATAGCGCGAAATTATGTGATTGGTTTGAAGAAATGTAACTTTCTCTAGAAGCCCAGTAGTGCAAGTCGTGACAGCTAGGGCGTATATGTAAATTCCAAAGAAGACATGCCATGGAAGTAGACTAGCCCTGCTGTTCCTCGATCCGCCTGGATACCAGAATGTATAAAACCCAAGTGCCCACTGCCAAGAAGATTTGTTTTATATTAAAAAACAAAAAAAAAACAAATATCTATGCGCCACAGCCATAATCAGTTATTCGACAAATAACCTTTACCAAACAGACCCTCACATTGTTTATTATCAAGGACCAAGCAAGTCTAAGAAAAGGAAACAAAAGAGGGTTTTAAAGAAAATTGAGAGGAGCACCTGGATACCAAATAAAAAGAGGCAAGTTAGACCCAACCAAGAGTGAAGGCTATAAAAGTTGTCAATTCCCTTGTCAATGTGAAACTTCAGAGCAGCCCAAACGCCAATTAAACCTAAAAAGAAAGCAAAGGATTGCACAACAAGGTGCACAGATTTCTTGAAGTTCTTTGTTCCAGGCATTGTCTTGTAAGCCAGCATAGCTGTAAATAACAATCAATGCCCACAAATTAGAATATGAACAAAACACAGAAATGGAAGGAGTGTAAGGTCACCACAATGCCCAATTGCACATTGTTCTAAAGGCTAGTTTCTCAATGGGGGTAATGGAATCATGTCAAGAATTTCTGAATGACTAACACTATGTTTGGTTCAAGGAATTTGGAAGGAAAAGAAAAGAAAATGGTTTTCTCTCATTTTCCTCACCAAAATGGAAGGAATTTGGTTTTCCCTCCACTTGGTACATTTTGCCTTCTCATTTTCTTTTCCTTCCACTTTTCCTTTCTTTTCCCCTCTAATCAAACAAGAAAAACGGTTTTCCATTTCATTTTCTTTTCTTTTCTCTTTCAAATTCCTTGAACCAAACATAGTGTAAAATGTCAACATGGAATTAGATATTAAATCAGTTCTTGACTACAAAAGGTTATAATGTCGAAAATGGTTGAATCCACTTGAATTTTCAAAACAAGTGTTCGGACACTTTGGTAACATCTATTTCAGCATAATAAGCAAGTCAAAAACTACTTACTCTGCTATAAGCTAGAATAGGGTACTAAACAGAGCCTTAATCTAGCATTCTTAATAGCATTGATTTATGTCACTAGCAGCATTTTTTGGTGTTAAAAATTCTACAGGTGGGGTCTAACTTCAAAGGATCTGAAACAATAAAGTCCAATTACAACAACAACAACAACAACAACAAACCAAATATAAAATCAACTCCATTGAGGTTTGGGTGGTCAAGACGTAAGCAACCTAACCCTTGTAGAAAAACAAACAGGCTATTTCCGTCAGACTCACTCAGACCCTTGATGCATTGTTGCATTTACTTCCTAGAACTTCAGAGAAGATTAGACGCTAGACCGAAAAGGTTAATGTGTCATTCAAGTATGTCTATTATTAACCCAATACTAAAGCATCGTCAAAAATGACTATTTTAGCTCCAATTGGAATTGGAGTATTGGACTACATCTGAGGAAACAATGAAGTCAGTTTCACTAAATATATCTACACTTAATCCATCATGCGAACAGTTCTAAGTGAGGATGGTAACTTCTCCTAATCAGAAAGAAAGGAAAATGTCATTTACAACCATTTATTAACAACAAACACTAGAAGGTCCAATTATTTTTACAATGACTATATAGTATGAATGTCGATTCACTTCATTCTACTCTATTCAAAATGAAATCAGAACCCTAGTGCACATGGACTAAACAAATGCAGATTAGCAGGAATAGAAGAATGCAGTATTACTAAATAACCCACAGTTATAGAAGTTACCTTCGCCATTTAAAACGACAAGGCTAATAACCATCAGTACAGGATGAACCTGCATAAGACAGTCATAAGCAAGAAACATAGAAAGTTTGATTCTTTATCCACTGATTTGAGATAATCAATACTCAAAGTATAAGAAACTAAGAATTTAACCCTAAAATGGGATTTTGTATAAAACCCTTGATTCAAAGGCATCAAATGCATGTGCAGCTAAGAAAAGCAAGCTTGGATTCAGAGGAAATTACATTGAAGATTAGATCTTTATTGTCGGAGATGAGGGACAACCCTCCCCTGTAACGTATCGTCCACATAAGAACCAGCGCCGTCACCGCGATTCCTAAAATCCTTACCAAAGAGAAGATCGGGAACTTCACTGCCGGTACCGCCATTGATGACTTTCTTTTTTTCAGTGGCGTGTTCACTAAGTCTTCTCCTGTTTAGGGTTTTGCCATTCTTTCCGATCTGAAGGTTAGAAGGGACTGTATAAAACAGAATCAAGCTAGAGGAGGCAGCAAGTCTTCTTCCTACTCAAAGTCGTCCACGTCACAAATCGGAATCCACAGTTCTCTAGTGAGTTTTTTTTTCTTCCTCAAAATATTTAACACTATGTTTGGTTCAAGGAATTTGAAAGAGAAAAGAAAAGAAAATGAAGTGGAAAATAGTTTTTCATGTTTGGTTGGAGAAGAAAAGTTGAGGGAAAAGAAAATGAGAAACAAATGTACTAAGTGAAGGGAAAACCAAATTCCTCCTATTTTGGTGAGGAAAATGAGAGAAAATCATTTCTTTTCTTTTCCTTCTAAAATCCTTGAACCAAACATAGTGTAAATATATTGGGTCTTTAAAATAATAGAAAAATCCAATTATGAATTCATGAAAAATATAAGATTTATATTTATAAGCGGATCTTATGACCAGAATAGCATAACTTTGCTAAAAAGTGCTCGAGGTCGTTAGTAGAATCAAGAGCCCTAAAATATTTGGCTAGACTAATAATGATAATAAAGACAATTATATAGAACACAAGATTGTTTTTGTATTATTAGATATAGATCATAGTCTCTAATGATTACATTAAAGCTTAATTTCAAACACTAAAGCCAAAACAACAGTTTGAACTTTGAAGGGAGGAATTCAAGTGCTAATATTGATCTATAAGGAGATTTGTTTTTGCTACGTATAAAAAGTTATGCTATATATGATCGTCTTTCATCACCGTGGAGATGAATTTGGACTTCACCCTTTTTTGTACTCATATTGAACATGAACCTTCTCACATTTTTCATGAGCTTGCATTCAAGTATTTTCTTTTTTGCAAACACTTTCTTTTACTCTACAAGTACAGTAAAGTGCCTAAAATGAGCATAAACTATAGCCCATACTTAGATGCAAAAAATGCCATTTTGCAATTGTCAACAACTAAACAAATAAATAACCTCTTAACCTTTTCTAACTAGAACATGGTTAGTAACTCGACTATTATTGACATTAAAACAAGTCAAGACATGTTTCCACGTACATGATTACACGAATTAACATGATCACACCCTAAAATCCAACAAAAAAGAGACTAGGAATCCACATTTGGCAAACAAACTGGGTTATAACATTCTTGGTGTGCTACTCTGTTGGGAAAATGTACAGTGTATCAAGAACTGGTTTTGATGCTCCCTGGCTTTTGCAAAACAGTAGTAGTTGCCACCGTCAATGTCTTGGGTAATAACCGGAGAAGAAAGTGCGCTCGCGTGACAATGGTGATCTTCTAAAACTATCAATTGCACGGAAATTAGAGTCATAATAATCCCGGTATCGGTAAGAAAATGGGCTGTTATCCGGGCCCGGTAGCCATTCATCTTTGAACTCGAATTGCTGCCATGGATCACCTTCGCCTTCAAACCCATGAAACCAATACTCTCTGGGTGCTTCTTCTTCTTCTTCTTCAAAAGGGCTAAACCACTGCCTAGGACAACGACCTTCAGCTTCAAGGTCTCTAAATGCCAGCCTTGGAGGGCCCACATCTTCAAAACTTCTGAATCGGTGCGGTGGAGGTCCTACTTCAAAATCCCTAAATGACGGCATTGGATGGCCCACATCTTCGAAACCCCTAAAATGGTGTGGTGGAGGTACATCTCCTTCAAAATTCATATCCATAGCAGACCATCGCATTCTGTATGGAATGTGGACAGTTCCAGAGAAACATAACAGAGGAAAGTGAAAAGGAAATAAAATTTGATGGAAAATGAAGTTATCCAAACATACCTTTGCTGCTCAAGAGAATGACCCCTTTCTGTAGCATATGATGTCATACCATGACGTCTAATGTCATGATGAGTTCTTGAACCTATAGCACTTGAGGACCATATACCCCAACGCCGTTCATCTACACCATCTGGAATTGGAGCATTTATCCCAGGAAATTCAACACTCATTTTCTTAGGTGGTTCTGCAGATTTCTCAAGATTTCCCCTCCCTGTTTCTTTCTTAATTTCATCATCACCGAATATTGTGATTCCTGAAGAAAGATTGTCTTCTTCTGGATCAAAGAAAAGTATTACGTAAAACGAAAGGAAGGAAAATATCAACACATTTTACCATAATACAAGCAAAATGTAATAAGCCAAATCAGAAAGTTAAAGGCATTGCCGCATTTGTCCGTTGATTATTACTGCATAAGGATTTTGATGGGTATGTGAAGAAATGATCAGTTACCTCGATAACCTGGTGGATAACCTATTTCAAGCATTCTGTGAAGCCATGGAGGTGGATCAAGCTCCTGAATTGAAGAAAAAAAATCACAAAGATAAGGTTGACAATGGCAGAATCTCTGAACATTTGAAAACGAAAACAAACAGTCTTTGATTTTCACAGTTCATGGGCTCACCCCAAGGCCCAAAAGTTTTCGGGTTTCAGGATCAAGAAAGCCCGGGCTTAGACCATCATACTTCCCCTTTTGAGAGGTTTGATAGTATCGAATAGAATTACGAGAAGCTGCATTTATGTTGCGTTTGGATCTGTGCTGTTTCCTTGCAATGCTGATGGCAACAGTGTCGTGAGGCTTCTTGCAATCCTTCATTGAGTGGCTATAGGAACTACAGTTGAAGCAGCGAGACGCATCAACTTCTTCCACTGCACTGCAACATACATGGTGAAGCCAGCTTGAGAGATAAGTGCACCAAAACATAAACATACATTATTATTAGAGTAAGTTATATAGATAATCTTTTATAACACAGGTTTTCCATAGATAGTCCTCAATTTTAAGATATTATGGTTGCGGTCCTCTATATTTGAGAATTACTCGTATTCCATAACCAGTCTTTTGTGGACTATATTTGGAAAAACATATTTGGGTCCAAGGACTGATCATGGAAAAATTCTCTAATATAGAAGACCACAGATATAATATCTTAGACTTGAGGACTATACATGGAAACAACCCATAATAAAAGACTCTTTATAGAATATACTCTTATTATTGATATTGTTGTTGTAATCCATATTATTATAGGACAAGTAATCAATATGATGCTGGTGGTGATGATAATAATGATGCTAATACACAAAAATTTACCCTTCCAAATTAGTTGAATGGTCTGATTTACTCAACGCAAATGTGATCCCCCGGTCATAAATAGGGACAGAACTGGCATCACATGGAATTAAAACCTTATTCTTTTTCTTCCTTGGTAGATCCATCCAAAAGGACTAACATGAAACAAAGGAGAATAATAACAATGATTGAAGAGTACACTTTTGTTTACTTTTATTAAGGCCGGAATCCGTAATAGGAAAACATACCACTGCAGAAGGTTTATCCACACCAACACGGAGAGCAGGGAAGTAAGTATCCTCACCAGATTCTAACGCTTCCTCTGAGTCCTGAGTAAAATATATAATCCACGGTTAAATTTGCTTGCGGCGCTTACAGATATCAGGATACATCATTGACCAAGGGAATGACTTTAAAAAAAATTGTTGTCGGTGCGAACCTTTTCTTCAGCTTTTAAGATTTTTTATTCTTTTATTTCTTCACACACATAATTGAGAAAAATATTATGCCCCGTTTGGTACACGGAATTCAAATTATGGAATTGGAATTGAGGACTTCAATTCCAATTCTGATGTTTGGTAGCACAAAAATTATGTGGATTTAGAATTGATAGAGTAAAAAATGAATAGGAATTGGTAGAATTCAATTCTATAGAATTGAATCCAATGGAATTTCAATTCCAATTCAATTCCAATTCCATCAATTCCGTAAACCAAACGGACCCTTAAGGAAATTGCTTAATTTCATTTTCCTAAGTGATCCGTATCTTTCTTTCTTCTTTTTTCTTTTCTTTTTGAAATATTCCCCCATTGTCAGAAGGGCATGAAAATGAGAGTTGACAAAATATCAATAGCTGGCAAAGATTAAACTTACATGTAATGGAGGGCTGTGGTCAGCACACCATTGTGACCACTGCTCTAATAGCTCTTCAAGCTTTTGTTTTCTCTCACTAAGAAATCAGTATTAACTTATCAGAGTTTGAGAAAAGAAAGATCAAAGAGGCATCAAAGAAATCTAAACTGATTGAAAAACAGTTGTCCATAAAAAAAATACAAATGAAACACAAAAGAACCTGACTATTTATGCTTTTACATGGTAAGGGCATTATAAATAATGTGGACTGATGGTTGCTCTTTTCCAAGGGCTGCTCTTGGTCTTTTGGCACTAGACACGGCTGATATGTCACATTCACAAAAAGGAAAAGTTTGAGTGAATTGATAGGATATTTATGGTACACACATATACTCCATAATAGCATAGCTGCAAAACTGCTCCAAAAATCAGGAATGAGCTAAGATAGTGAAAATTTCCAGTGCTTCTTCAAGCTACACTCTCTTAAGAAGGAGGATGTAATTCCACTTTTGTCCTTGTCTTTCAATTCAAACATTTTGGGCGTCGGATTTTTCAGAAAGGACCAGAATCTATCTAAAATGTACTCCCTCTGTCCATATAAGAAGGTTAAATGTTGCCTTCAAGGAGTTCAAGAAAAATTGGTGAAAATGATAAGTATGTGGTTAAAATTAGTTTAGAATAGAAATGTTGTGGGTCACATATCTCTTTCTTTAAAGTGAAGAAGTGTGATTTTGTGTTAATTTTGGGACAACCCAAAAAAGAAGTATAAAATATAGGCCAAAAGAGAACTTTTTGTATGACAGGTATTGTAGCCTAAATCCACCTTTAAAAATTTCATAGGCCAAAAGAGTCAATTGAGAGAAAAGAATTATGAAGGAAAATGGCAATATGGTCAGATAGTGGTATTGAATGAGTGGGAGTAAAGTCAGTATGAAAACCCATGCACTCACGCACGCGTGCACACAAATGGGGGAAGGAAATTACCACTTGGATCAACATTTGGATTCCTTTGATTTTGTTGACCGGCATTGGTATTACCAATTTTGATTTCTTCTGGAACAATGAGACAGCCATTCTCACCATTCTCAGAATCTTTGCCATCATTTGTATCCAAACATAACTGGTGTCCTTCAATCATATCACCGACACCATTTTCAGAAATTCCTCCATTTGAGGCAATTCCTTCCATAGCCTTAGCTTCTCCCGACAGGGGATTCAAGCTCGGTTTACAGTTATAATCTTCACCATCATGATTTTCTGGCTGTGTTTCAGAATCACTTAAAAGAGGCAGGATGATCACATCCTCAGTTTCCATGTCAGGCAATGTGTTTATACAGTACCAAAACTAACTAGATGAGGAATGAACCTGCACAAATCATAACACCTTAATGACAAAACCTTCAAACAAAACATGCATTATTCTGGCATACATTGAGAAAGTATATACGAAAATATACTAGGGGTGTTCATTCGGTAAAGCCGAACCAAACCAAAAATTTTGGTAAAATAATATTTGTACCCAATACCGAACCATAAATCCATAATGAATCGGTTCCGGATGGTAAAATACTTGTAAATTGTGATAAAATTAGTCCATTACAAAACAACACTTACAAGCAACCCAATCGTTAAAACTAGAATTAGAAAATGGAGACAGTTTATCATCAATCATCATAACATTCATAACCAGTGAAATTTTTAGAAAAAAAGAGAGGGTTCAGTTAACATTCTTAAACTCATTGTGATAAATTTCAATTTTAACAAATTAGGGTGAAGGATAATCACGATTATCAAAAAAAAAATGGAACACAAAAAACAATACTGGCAATAGCAAATGTCAGTAATCACCATTCATAACCGCAAGAAAAGTGAAAAAACAAAAGGAGACCTGAGGGTGCCAATGGAATAAACGGACTACGAAGGGAGGGAATAACGCAGACAGAGATATGAGATGCCTAGCTAGGGTTACGGGGGTAATTCAAGCTACCCGGACCGGAGTAAATTGAATTACCTACTAAAGTTTTCAAAATTGAACACACAATACTCAACCAATTTACCAAATTGTACCCACTCCTAATAAATACTCGTATTTCTTGTCTTTAAATTATTTATACTTTATGTAAAATAAAGTGAAATTCTAAATTCTTTTAATTCATTTAATTTAAAGACTGGCATACAAATAAAAAATACTACCTCCGTCCCAGAGTATTTGTCCACTTTCATTTTTACACATCATCCAATACACTTCTTAAATCCATTTTATCTTGTAATTTGTATATTAAAAAATTATTGAAATTATATATTAATAATCTATATGTTAAGACAAATCAAACAAGATCACATATGACTATATTTAGGCTTACATATTGAGAAAATTTGATGAGTCAAAGTGCTTAGATGAACAGTTCCAAAAGTCAAAACTGGACGAATACTCCGGGACGGAGAGAGTACTACGTAAAACTTACATACTCAAAAAGTATATCAAAAGTATCACAAAACAAGAAATGCAAAAATATTTTATTTCATCAAATAGTCAATGAAAATGCACAAGTGAACAAAAGTTTCCACAATTTTTGAATAGTGAAGTGTGCAAATCATTTAGTGGCGGAGGAAGTATTATACTATAGGCTTGTTATCTTCCTCTAATTTGATTGATTTTTATTTGATTGAAATAAGTTCTCATCTGATTTGATTTGATTTTATTTGAATGTAGTTACTCAGGGTATGTTTAAAGTTATTTCTAATCTACGTTGAGCTAATTTTAATAAGAATAAGCTGAAAAGAACAATCTCTACATTGTAATAGAGTCTCAATAATAATAATAAAAAAGAGTCAATTCCATAATTGATCCTTTATAACAGAGGGGATTCCCTATTTAGTCATCTATTATCAAATATTACACCAAAGATCCTTCTTTTATGGGTATCTTTCCACAAATAGTCCTTTTTTTGATCTTCTATCATGTTGGTGTTAATTTGAGGGCTAAAAGTGTAATTTCGCAATGATAATACGGAGTATATCTTTTTTGTCATATACAATTCTAAAGGCTATTCCGTTTCCATCGTTTGTGAATTACAATCGCTTTCTACTACAATCATAATTTACAAATGTGGTCTTTCGTCGAAATCCTTGCCCACAATCATAGTCATTATTTTTGTGTTATCCGCTTAACCAATATCAGAACATGTCACTAAACATAATATTGATGTCAAATTATACTTTTAGTCTTTAAATTAATACCAACATGTCAGAAGATCAAAAAAAGGACCATTTGTGGAAAGACACCCTTAAAAAAACGACTACGGGGGTAATATTTGATAATAGAGGACTAAATATGGAAACCCTCCTGTTATAAAGAACCAATAATGGAATTTACTCTAAAAAAAGGTATCCACTCACATCCCATCACGTAACATTCCTCCTCTTATACATTTAGTTTCTCAACTTGCGTCGAACTAATCCTAAGCCCCTAAAACCCACCCAAGAACCTTAGAGGAGGTAAATCTAGACTCTTTCGTCCCTTAGGTTCCTATATACTCCATCCGTCCCATTTTATAACGCCTATTTCGGTTTACGATGTTTGACTGAAATTATTTTCAAATCATTTTATATGACAAATGGTATAGAGTTAAAAAATAAAAATTACATATCAAAATACTACATCAAAACATCTACAAAACTAGTAGTGTGACAACAATATTTGACTTATGTATTCCACTATTATGTGCTGCTCTCTTGATTCGTTATCTCCCTTTAAGTTTTTATGAATTTATAGTTATTTCAAACCAATGAAAAATAAGTCATCACAATCAACTTTTGTTGATTGAAAAGTTTACCATTTTGGTTGAACCCCTAATCCACAATTTGATACTAGTAATATTTTAAAAATACGTAGTCCACGTGAGAGTACTCATCCGTCTGCGTATTTATTCATGGAAAATTTATCTAAATAAGACTAAGACATAATGACTTTATCAATATAAGATCATATGTTTTTATTTCTCAATGTAGGATCATTGATCATTATTCATTAGTCATTATTCAAATAAATATCTACCATCAGTGGACATTATTCTTCCCACTAGATATTATTAAGTACTATATAGAGAATAAAATATTTAATTCTTAAATTGAGAAATGACTTATATTTTAGTCTTATTTAGTGTAAGTTTCACATATTCATACATTAACATCCATATATAACTAGGAGTATCATCTAATAAAGTATGGTATCCTTAGGTAGCTAGGGTGTTTGGTCTAGTGGTATGATTCTCGCTTCGGGTGCGAGAGGTCGTGAGTTCGATTCTCGCAACACCCCCCCACATGTATTTAGGTTTAAAATTTAAAACTTTAAAATATAAACTTTAAAATTTGAAATTCAAAGCAATCAATAAATGAAAGCCAACTTCCAAACAAGGCCTTTCTCTCAATTCTCTCTCTCTCTCTCTACTATGATTGCCTCTCTCTTTGCGATGAATCGACCACTCAAATCTCTGTCGAAAAACCAAGTTTCCCACTACGTTCTTGTGTTGTAGATTTGCATGATTTGTCATCAGATTTGTTAATTTTTTTAATCGATTGTACTTTTAAGCTAATGTTTTTAATTGAGCTTGAAATACTCTCCCACGAGAAATTTCAAAAATACAATTCCTTTTCAATTCTATATACAACTTTGTGTTACCAAACAAAAGATTTGGATTTATAGTACAATTTTATATCAATTTCTTGATTATACCAAACAAATCATTTTGAATTGAATTAGAATTTAATTTTATAAAATTTCAATTCTAATTCAATTTTAATTCTGTATAGTTTTAAACTTTTCGAATACAAACAATAATGTTCAACACTCAATTCAATTTGTATACAATAATTCCAACTCTGTTTATAAAATTGAAGTTATCCAGAGTTTGATTTTACATGCTAAACACAAACAAATCACCATTACATAACAAAATGAGTTGGAGTACTCCTAAGTCTCTGTTCATGGTTTGCTTTTTTATGTTTTTATAAATTTTTTTGTTTCAAACAACTCAATCAGTTTTTCGTCTTTAACATTTGGAGAAAGAAATCACTCCATGAATCAATTGGACCAGGGAGACACCAATGCACACAATCATTGTACAATGTCACATTCTCTTGTGGCCCGTGCCCGTATCGACTCGGATGACCATCCGGTCTCAACAACATTGCACGTGTCACATCCAACAGCCTAAACCTTAATCCTTTTGTTCTTCCTTCCTTTTCTGCTACCTTAAATTCCTCAACTTGTGCCAAATACATTTCCAAATTTACACCCTCCAAAAATACTTCATTGCCCCTAAGAGGTTTTTGTCTTAGACAATTCCCACCATTATTCCAATCCCCACCTTCGAAGTGTGACGGTGCGAAAGTTCTCAAAAACGTTACACCCTTATACTTTTTCAAGTCATTTATGGCTTTAAAAGCAGTCTTGAGTGCCTTTTGGTACCCGTAAGTCATCGGGAGGTCGGTCAGGTTGTCGATCAAACAGTACCGGCACCCGATTTGAGAATCGTTCTCAAAGTAAATTCCCGGGCAATAGAACCAGTGGCCGGCGTTTATGATGACGAAGCCGAACTTCTCGATCGGAGTTGTCCAATCTTCGTTGGCCTCGTCTAGGTAGAGATTGAAGAGGCCGGTGTGAGTCGGACCGTCGGAGTCGGCCTCTTTGGCCCTCACCAAAAAAGGTGACCAAAACGTTGCAATGGTGAAGTTGAATGTGGTGTACTTCCATTGCTTGAAATTTTCGTCTTTAGATGTTGAAACATCAATTGGATACTCAACCTAAAACATACACACTGATCTATAAAAGTTAAGACTGCATACAAAACTAAAAAGGACTACCAATTACCAAAACATTCCAGTTTGTAAACACATACTCCGCCCATAATATCTTTCTTATCCAAATAAATTGTAAACATTTACTCCGTAACTTTGTCCATATTCTCCTTTCATTTTGCAAAAGTTAGTAAGTTAGAAAGTTTTTTTGGGAATAATTATGGTTGACATTTACTTTAGCATCATATAACTTCGATGTTTTATAAATGTTGTACAATGATAGTTTTTATCGTTAAGTTTTCAAAATTAATAAATTGTACTTCATACATCATTAAATAAATTATTTAAATAAAATATTAACGTTAGTTAATCAAAGAGAAAAGTGCATGGATTACCCCAAACTTCTCCGAAAGTGCACGATTTACCCCTAAAGAATATAAGAAGTGCACCAATCACCTTCTCCCACGCACCAAAATTGCGACTCTGATTCACATTGGTCCTTTGGAATTCTCAAAATTACCCTCCAAAATTATCTTCTCGACTTAGCCAAGAAGTCGCCCTTTTCAATCTATTTTCCAAAGGGTAATTTCGATTTATTTTCTTCTTGATTAATTTTCCAAACGGTGCAATCCAGAATTGTTAATCGGCAGATTTGTTAATTGTTAGGAGGGTAACTTTCAATCTATTTTACAAATAGTTAGGAGTGGTAATTTCCAAAAATTAATTTACAAATTGAAATTACCCTTTGATTTCCCCACTGATTCACATGGGCCTAGAATTCTCGAAACTACCCTTTTGAATCAATTAACATATAACATCAGCCTTTTGGAATTCTAAAAATTCTCGAAAAAAAATTAAATAGCAAAACAAATTACCTCGTGCGACCGGCTTTCACTCGAGAAGTCATGTGGTTATTATTGTAGTTGGAACGGATAGCTTGTGCATACGGAGAATATACGAGGGAAGGGGTATTTTAGTATTTACAATTACTTTTTACAATTCATTTTTACGAAAAAGAGAAAAGGGGGCAAGTGTGCAATGATTTGCATATTTGAGGGGTGATTGGTGCACTTCTTATTCTTTAGGGGTAAATCGTGCACTTTCGAAAAAGTTCGGGGGTAATCCATGCACTTTTCTCGTTAATCAAAAGAATAGAAATGTTGATCTGAAACTAAGCTAAGCATGGCCATATGTGTCATGATTATGATCCATCTAGAATTCTAAAGTACTCTATCATGATGGATTATTACGGAGTATTAAAAAAAAGTATTATTATTATTGGAACATTTCATAACATTCTTTAGATTCAAGTAATTAAAAATATGATCTTGCTAGTATTGTGTTTAAAAAAGAGAAGTTTCCCATTGATTGATGATGATAGAACAAAGATGTGAAATATTTCTTCCGTCTCGTGAACTCCTTTCAATTATGATTTTTTAGTGAAGCAGTGACATATTTGGATTACAAATTAAATAGAATCCAAATATATTGAATTTATATTATCATAGGTAATTTGGGGTCCGTGTAGTGTCAAGCAAGTAGCAATATATATCAATTAAAATGGAGGAGACTTCATCTTACACCACTCCAATTTGTGTAACATTGTTACACCAATTCAATTGGAGCACCTACGGTATAATTGATTGTTCTTATCTCACCTAACCCTCGGTAAACCCCTCATACCCTGCCCGGCCCTAACGCATCCCCGTACCTCCTTCAATTGCACGGACCAAATTTTGAGTACAAAGATTGACCATAGAGTCAACAAAAATTTGTGTGGTAAAACTGGAAGGGGAGCGAGGATGCATGCGTTAAGAACGGGCCTGGTATGAGGGGATTACCGGATGAGTTAGGTGGGATAGGAACAATCAATTTTGCGATTGAAGCACCGTAGGTGCTGCAATTGAATTGGTGTAACAATCTTACACCAATTGGAGTGGTGTAAGATTACCTCCGATCCCCACATTAAAATATTACGGAGTATCAAAATGACATGCAATTAACACAAGTTGAATTGTTAATTGATATGGCAGATTTGTAAACTGTAAAAAATTTAAGTAGATAGAAAATTTTGAGACATATATTGTGAGAGAGAGAGAGCTGAGAGAGGTTGGCTTTGGTAAAAAATGCAGTGTTTAACGTTAACATTTTGAAAAAGACTATACCATTTTCAAAATTAAGTTATAATATTAAAATTTTATTCAAAATGTTAATGTTAATGGAAAATGAAATTCTCCCATATTTAGGTTGGGTTAGTTACCCGGGACAAGAGGCATATCAATGACTGCATATGGTTCCTCCCGATAGAGTCTCCGACAAAGGCCAACGACTTGTTCCTAACCACGTCCAAGAACCGGTCCGGGTCAAACGCCGGCAACTCACATCCGTGAGGCTTCCACCGCCACTTCATGAACCCCGCGTCCGGCCGCCCGTACTTCATGCAGTTCTGGTGCTCGTGGATCGCCCAACACGTGTCGTTCGTGTAGTATGGGCCCGCCGGATTCGGAACCCATTCTCCGGCAAAGAGATCGCATTCTGTATCATCCCCCGGCGGAGCTCCCCGTGCGGCACGGGGCGGCAGCAGGCGGCGGCCGAGATATGTAGGGCGAAGGAGAGGGACAAAGAAGGTTAAGGTTGTTGCTGATATTAAGGAGACGAATAGAATGAGAAGCGGTAGTTTAGGACACTTTTGGACGACCGGAGAGCTAATTTTCCGGGAAGGGAGCTCCTCCATGAAGTAGTAATAAAAAAGATTGGTTATACGTATTAATTAATGAAACTGATGTGAATGTTTTGGTTATAAAAAGATGGATATATATTATGCATATGCTTAACCCAATCAATTATATTGCTAACATGCCGTTGCCGGCCACATATTTTTGCCACGACACCAGCCATCATCATAATTCTATTTATGCACTCTTTTTCATGTCATTACTAAGAATTTGGGGTCAATATAAATATATTACTAAGAATTTGGGGTTAATATGTAAGAGGAAGTGAAGAAAAAGATTTGATCGAAAAAAATACTAAGGAACTGAGTCGTTCAATTTTGAGTACATGAACTAATTTGAACGTTTTTAGATAGTACAGGGACTTTTACGGTACCTTGACTGTGATAATGTCCCTTTGTTATAATGTCATTTTGTTTTGGCCGATGTTTGATCAGTCTATGAGGAAAACCCAAAAATATTTGGGTTAAGGTAATAACTATTTTTCACTTCATTTATGTGCTAAGAACAGTTCAACAAATTTAATACTGGGACAAGAAGTGAACTATTTATAAAGTTATATAAAAACGACTTGAAAAATGAAGTGAAAAAATACAATGAGACAGAGGTAAAATTTCTCCCATCTTTTCCTCCAGTCTTCTCCCCTTAAAACCGAACACAAACGAATATGGTGTAGCGAATGATTGGATCACAAACTCACAATGAAAAGTGCAGTCCAATAAAAGCAATATCACTATATATATGCACAACCAAAAAAAGAGAGATCAAAACAGAAGAAGCACAAAAGTCACCTTGAAGTTCTACCTTGGTGGATCTCCCTCTTCAGCAACTCCATGAAGAAGTCGCCCCACGTATCAATGGGCCCCGGCAAACACCAATGCACACAGTCGTTGTAGTACGTCCGGTTCGGGTTTTGCCAGTGCCCGTACTTGTTCGGATGCCCGTCCGGTCTTAGCAGCATCGCCCGGGTTACATCAAACCATCTTAACCTCACCCCATTTCGCCTCCCTTCCTCTTGGGCAACCCCAAACTCCTCTCTCTGAATATCATAAGAATCAAACTTGAACTCAGCAAGAGCCGCCGAGTCGTTCCTCTTAAACGGCTCAGTCCTCGCGCACTCTCCACCCTTGTCCCAAGGCCCATTTTCAAAGTGCTGTGGTGCAAAGGTCCTTAGGAACGCGACGCCCTTGAAATTGTTTTGCGGGCTATTGATAGCCCGAAATGCAGTCTTTAGAGCCCACCGGTAGCTAAAAGCACTAGTCAAGTGGGTGATGTTGGGGTCTGAGCAGTAGAGGCAGCCCGCGGGCTTTCCCTCTAGGAAAAAACTGGTTGGCCTGAAGAACCAGTGGCCGGCGTTGATTATCACATAGTCGAAATCTTTGATTTTTGTAGTCCAAGACTCGTCGAATTCATCCAGGTAAAGGTTGAAGGGGTTTTCGTTGATTTCAGAAAATGTTACCCCTGTCTTGACCAAATAGGGGGACCAGAACATGGTGATGTTGAAGTCGTAATCTCTGTACACAAAGCGTTTACGGTTGTCGTCGTTTGTGTTTATTGAAACATCCAAAGGATATGTAACCTGAAAAAAAAAAAGAATGAAAACATTGCCAAAAGTGTTTATACTGATTTATGAACTTCTTATCAAACTTCAATAATGGGTTTCTTTCTTCAAAAGAGTTGAGGACCTTGTTGATTATTAAAATACACTCCATATAGCCCAAAATAAATCTTTTTTTACACGTGAACAGTAAACATGCTTTGTTCAAGTCACAGGAATCAGATATTGAAAATATTCAAGTTAAACTCATTTCTCTTCTAACAAATATGGTGATCATATATTATCCTTTTTTAGGGAAAAGGAAAAATCTTTCATTACTGGAAAGTTAACACTACGTGGTAAATACAGTAAATAACAATAAATAGTGAACATGGAATGGGTACAATTCATATCACAGAGTTCAGTGATGGTGTCCATATTTTTATCCATTTAATAATTGAGTTATTTTCATATAAAATAACTTGAATGTTTAAAGTTCAAAAGAAATCACAGCTCAAAGTTGAGTTATTTTCAAATAAAATGAAGTTAAATGTTAAAAATCAAATTCAAGTTAATCTTAAGGTCAATATCAAAATTAAGTTAAAAGTCAAATCAAGTCATAAATTATACTAACTCAATTCAATTTACAATGTTTGAATGAAACTATTTTTAATTCAACTTAGGGGCTGTTTGTTTCAGCCTCTTAATGGTTCAGATGTCTGAATGGTTCAGCACTTAATGGTTCAGACTGTTTGTTTCAGCCTCTTAATGGTTCAGATGTCTGAATGGTTAAAAGATTTGCCTCTGAATGATTAAGTATTATACAGAGTCTGAATGGTTAAGACCTCTTATCTGAATCGATCAGACATTTGCCTTTGAATAGTTAAGCAATATACTAGCTCTTAATGGTTCAGACCTCTTACTGGTTCAGCACTTAATGGTTCAGACCTCTTACTGGTTCAGCACTTACCGATTCAGAAGTTGCCAAACAGCCCCTTAGTTAAAATTGGTATCAAATTAAAAAATAAAATCATATTAAAAAATCTACAAAACAATAAGAGACAGACTATTTTATTTTGTTAAATGATCAATGAAAAATATTATAAATTACTCCGTAATTAAGTTGCAATAAAGTAATTTAAACACTAAGATTAAGTTAGTTTAAGTCCTTCAAAGAAATACTTTCTTCATTCCAAAAAAAAGATTCTTTTCTGATTATTTGGGGTCAAAATAGAAACTTTGACCGTAACATTTGGAAAAAAAATTAATGAATAGAAGTTATAATGTAAATGCTGATATTATAAATATTTATAAACGTATAAAATTTACTCCGTATTAACGTATCAATACTGATATCAATCGTCTTGGTGTCACATTAAGAATTACAAACAATCAAATGGGAATCTTATTTTGGAACAAATAGAGCAAGAATTAAAAATATTGAAAATAGAAAACAAAATTTAATAATTACTTGATTAATTTAACATTTGAGTAATCAAAGTACGATCCAAGATTTTTGGTTCTCATATTTTGAAACTTGTCCCATGCCATATTATTTTGAAAAGGAGATGATTTTTTTTTAAGGGAAAAACGGGATGATTTGGTACGAGATATAATTTATTAAAAGTCTAGAACCATTTGTAAACTCATTTTCACTTCAATGCCATGTCAGTGTGTTTCGAAATAATGTCGGTTAGTATTTTGGTTCACCGCTAAGGCGATAATTATACCAAGTTGTTGTTGGATTGCAACCACAATATGCAATTTACTCCGTGACATTTCTCCACATTTAATTCAAAATGTTTAAAATATATCAAGCCACTCGTGTTAATGTTGTTGTTATTGTTATTGCGGCAAGACCGTTGACCCTCGCATATAGTATCAACAGATGACATTCGCTCATTTAGAGCTCCTCCTGTACTTCAAATATAAAAATCGATGATTCCTACCTCATTTAACCACCTCCCTAAACCCCCAACTCTTCACCCCAGCCCGACCCTTACACCCCAGCATTGGATATAGTCACACACTTGGAGGGGGTCTAGGGTGGGGGCAAAAGAGTCGGACTGGGGTGGCGTGCGAGAGGGGTATAGGGAAGAGGTTAGGAGAGAAAGAACCATCAATTTTGCGAATGAAACACCAAATAAGTTTCAAATGAGTGAGTGTCATCCCTTCACACTAATGTGTCAACAAAACCTTGTCGTTGTTATTGTTATTATTATTGTTGGGTGACAAACCCATTTTAAAAGTAACCTAAAACAGATAATATTATACTAATGCGGAATAGGGAGCAGCCCAGAAATTATTGTTGTTGTTGGTATTATAAATTCAAAAACACAAAATACTACAAGAAAAAGAGTTCCAGAATGGATTCACGTCACAACCCAATGACCCCCATGTGCATCCTACCGACAACGGACATCAATTCCAATGCACCCTCATACACGTCCCCACAATAGGTACGAAGGCCGAATTAAGGTGTCCATTTTGACCATTTCTCCCAAATTTACATTTTCAATGAATGGATTAGATTATCAAATTCTTCTCTAGTGAGTTTTTCATCATTTCCAAGAAAGTACTCAACCGTAGATAATCATAATCTTAACGATTACTAAATCCACATTTAAATCTAATCTCTTCGTCCAAATTCGTTAATGGTATGTTTGGTAATTCGAATTTGGATTTCAAGTCATGATTTAACTCAAATCCCATGTTTGGAAACTTTAGGCCCACTTTGGTACACGGAATTAAAACTATGGAATTGGAATTTAAGATTTCAATTCCAATTCTAGAATTTGGTAGCACAAAAATTATGTGGATTTAGAATTGGTAGTGCAAAAATGAATTGGAATTGGTGAATTCAGTTTTATGAAATTGAATCTTATGCAATTTTAATTCCAATTCCATCAATTCCGTGTACCAAACAGACCCTTAAGAAATTTGGATTTGAGGTAAATTCTTCTAATTCATAACAAAACTCAATTTGAAATAAATTCTTCTAATTCATAACAAATCCATATACTTCTTTTGTCATTAATCCAAGTAAAATGTTTCCCAAAAAGAAGGGAAGGAGAAGAAGAAGTGGTGGAAATAATATGGACATACCCTTGACAAGAGGCAGACCAGTGACTGCATATGATTTCTGGCGATTGAATCCCCCACAAAGGCCAAAGCCTTGCCCCTGACGAGTTCCAGGAACTCGACCGGGTCAAAAACGGGCAGGTCGCAGCCGTCCGGCTTCCACCGCCACCTCAAGTAGCCATCGTCGGGCCGCCCGAACTTCATGCAATTCTGGTGCTCCTGAATCCCCCAGCAAGTCTCGTTGCTGTAAAAGGGGGCGGCGGCCGGGTCGGGAACCCAATCGCCGGTGGAAATGTCGCATCTGTCGACGATCTCGGCCGCGGCCTTGATGTTCCTGCCCAGATCTGTCCCGATTCGGCCGTCGTGGGAGGGAGGGTAGAGATCGAGTTCGTCGACGCTCGGGGCTCTACTGAAGGTGTAGTAGAGGGGGAAGGCGGCGGTGAGGAAGACGACGGTCAGGGACAGCGGCAGGATTATTTTGGAATGAGTCTTGTTGCTGCTGCTGTGTTTCTTTCCGGGGGGAAGAAATTCCATGGAAGAAGATGAAGTATCAGAATATGGCAAAAACTATGGCGGAAAATTAGCGCTGAAAATCTCAAAAGAAATTCCACTAGTTACACTCTTTAGTAATTTGTACAACTACTCTCGTAATTATTAAACAATTACTATATGGGGCCAATAATCTCAAAGGAGTAATGAAGTCTCAAATAAAAGATTCACAAAATATACTCCCTCCGTCCTATAATGATTTTCCCGGTTCGCAAAACAAAAAAAAATTCCAAATTTTTTCAATCTATTTTATTTAAATATTGGTATAGAAATAAAAAATAAAACACACATATTTAAAAACTACACCAAAAGTTCAACAAAACAAGTGGTGACAAGAATATTTTATTTTATCATATAGGTCATGAAAAAACACAAATAAATATAAATTCACGTGAAGTTGGAATAGTGTTCTGGGAAGATCATTATAGGACGGAGGGAGTATAAATTTATCATTTGTATACTTGAGTTTTTATTTTTTTTAATTATTTGAAACCATTATTTAAAACCATTGCTTTACATATCAGGCAAATTTGTGTATTTTATCAATACTCAATTTGCAAATCTAGCATTTCTGGTCCAAAAACTTAAATGACTGAATTAGGTTTTTTTGAAAATATTAAAGTTTTGCAAAAAAAAAACTAATAAAATTCATCCTAAATAGGACTAAACATAGAGAAGATTACGAAAATATGATTTTCATGTTTTTTTTGAAATATGACTTCACATGCACTGTGGTAATGTGGTTGTAATGTGACATTGTACATGTGACATTACTATACTTTTTGGTAATATACGTGATCATGCTTGATAATTTAATGCATTTTAAATATCATTTCAATAAGATCAATTATTATCAAATTATAATATGGTACCGAACCTAATTAAAGTTCTTAAATTGTATCATGGTACCGGAGCTAATTATGACCACTTTAAGAACTTTTATAAATTCATTTTGATGAAATAACGTGATGTTTCTTTGTGCTAGTGCTTATTAGCTTATTACTGATAAATAGTTTTTACTTATGAATTACGTAAAGTTAAATATTCTTTCATTAAAATAAAAAATGACTTAAATGAAAAATAAATCATGTGAAAAAAACTAAAATAAGAGCAAAACGTAGAATATATATATATATATATATATATATATATATATATATATATATATATATATATATATATATATATATATATATACTAAAAAGATAAGTAATGGAAAACATGACTTAAATGCGTATACAATGTCAATCATACCAATATATAATCTTAAAAAAGTATTATACAATGTCTAAATATAGTGACACATTATTATAGTGTGAACTTGTATTTTGAGGATAAAAACATGGACTTCTTATTTCTAGTATTTTTTCTATGTTTTACTTCTATTTATGGTGATTTTCTTACAAGTCATTTGACAACATTCATAAATGGTGAGAAATAGTTTTGTAAATATTTTTAGAACATAACTTTGAAAAAACTATGTTAAAAATAAATAGGTAAACCTGTGTATTTTTCATGTCTTATACCCAAATTATTTATAAGTCAGCTTATAAGCATAGAAAAACATGTAATCAGCTTACAAAAACAACTTATAAACAATTGTTAGACTAGTTTATTGTTCTTACTCAACTAAGAGCGATATTCCAATCGAAATAATTTATACCATCATTTTGGCGTCATCCGTGAGACCATGAACAAATAGCCATGTTGTTGTGTTGTGGTTCATTTTGCTCAATGAAAAGAAGAATGGAGGTCCAAGCTCAAACTCCATGGTCAAAGTATTTTGGGAAGCAATCCAACACAAAACGAAAAGGGGGATTTACGCGGTATATAGCCAAAAATGGAGGAACAAAATCCTTGAGAAGCAATCCATCAACAATTTTAACCAGCTTATAAGTATGGAAAAGCACCTCAAACAGTGGTTAGAATAAAAAAAGAAGTGGAAAAAAAATAGAATGAGCACAAACTACAACTAAAAAAACAAAAGAGATCAAAAGATGTCAAGTTGATGGTCCTCTATCTTGGATCGATCACCTCCCTCTTCAGCAACTCCATGAAGAAATCGCCCCACGTATCAATAGGCCCAGGCAAACACCAATGGATACAGTCATTGTGATAAGTGATGTTGGGGTTCTGGGGGTGGCCGTACCGGTTAGGATGCCCGTCCGGTCTCAACAACATCGCCTGAGTTACATCAAACAACCTTAACCTCACCACCCCATCACTGTTCCTTCTCCCTTCCTCTTCTGCAACCCCAAACTCCTCTCTCTGAATATCATATACATCAAACTTAAACTGAGCAAGAGCCGCCGAGTCGTTCCTCCTAAGCGGCTCAGTCCTCGCGCACTCTCCGCCGCTATCCCAAGGCCCATTTTCGTAGTGTTGCGGCGTAAAGGTTCTCAGAAACGCGACGCCCTTGAAGTTGCTCTTGACAGCCCGGAACGCGGTCTTTAGAGCGCGCCGGTAGCTGAAGCCACTGGTCAGTTGGGTGACATTGGGATCCCAGGAGTAGAGGCAGCCCACGAGTTTGCCCTCCAGGTAAAACCTGGTCGGTCTGAAGAACCAGTGGCCGGCGTTGATTATCAGGTAGTCGAAATCTTTGATTTTCGTGGTCCAAGATTCGTCGAATTCGTCCAGGTAGAGGTCGAAGGGGTTGTCTTTGTTGCTCTCAGAATATGTTACCCCTGTCTTGACCAAATAGGGCGACCAGAACAGGGTGATGTTGAAGTCGTAATCTCTGTACACCAAGCTTCGCCGGTTGTCCGTGTTTGATATATCTGAAGGGTATGTAATCTGAAAAGAAAAGAAAAGAAGAAGAAAAATAGAGAGAATGAAAACATGCAAGAGGCGTTTATAATGATAATGTTTCAGGCAATCATCTTGTGTATCACAAGCTTGCACACACAAGCAAAAACCTATAGCAGTAAACGACACAAAGAATTGTTTACGCAGTTCGGAGCAATATCCATACATCTGAAGGACTCACGTCCGTGTAAAGCCCTTCACTAAACTACCGTAACATATTACACAAATCACAAACAATAGAACGTCTCCTAAAATGACAAAATCTACCTTGCGTAAGGCCTCTAACCCAAACCTTGTTTGAGTTATCTTCATTCGCTTCATGGCACGGCTTAAATAGGAAAACAAATAAACTCTAGAAGAGTTCATCTTGAAAACTTCTTGCACAACAAGTTATTTGACAAAAGAGGCGTAGCGTTCAATGAAAAAAAGCCCACGATTTGTGTTGATTCATTATAACGGTATAATATGACAGTATGATCAGTCAATCGTCGATGGATCACCGGTTAACATCGACGGCCGTACTCTAGTGGCCAACAACGATGGATGACAATGTAGCAGTAATCCTGTGGCAGTTGCAGCGTGACAATATGATAATTATGGTATTGTAACAAGTGAAACATTAAGTGTTTGTTGTCAAGTTATGAATGACTATATTCTTTAGTGCGTTGTTCGATGAATATTTTCTTTACTAAGTCTTTGTTGTTGGACATTTTTAAGGATGTTATTCATCCATTGTTAGTCTTTTCGAGGCGGATGCAACTTTACACCTCATTGCTAATGACTTTATAATTCGCGTTTATAATGTCTATCTTGATTCTATTGTCCACCGCCACCTCTAATTATGTCTACTGCAATGACTCTGTTAATGACTATTAAACATCATCAAAAGTCAAAACAGTGTCTAATTTTATGTGTAAACTATTCATCAACTTAGCGATCAATTTTAGATGGGTTTGTAATATGCATGTCCATAATTTTCAATCTCCTACAAACAAAACGATAAATATGAACAAATTGGGTGAAGCAAAAATAGAAGAATATACAAAGTGCTCCGTATATGGAACAATTTTATTTTCTTTAAAAAAAATAAATATAGTCCAACCAATTTCACATTAAAGGGCGTTGGAGGATATTTATGTCTTTTCCATACTCAAACCTTTAAGGCCCCGTTTGGCATCAGCAATAGAGGTTAGTGTTAGCGTTTTGAAAAGGCAATCTGACGGTAGTCTTTAGCGTTAGCGTTTTCAGAGTTAATCTACACCGTAAATTTTTTATCCAAAATGCTAACGCTAATTGAAAACGCTCTTTCCAAACAAGGCCTAAGTTCCTATATAGGGAAAACTACTATGTTTTCCTCCTATTTCTACAATTTTTTCATAAACAAATTCTTCTTTGATCTTAAAATCCAAACGTATTTTGTGGACCTTAATAAATAAATATAATGTATGAATTGACCTATTTGAAAAAAATAAAAGTCAACATGTAGGCTTATGAAAAATATGAAAAGATCCACATTTCACATGTGGACCAAATACAATTCTTACCTTGTGTAGTTGTGTTTGGATGAAAAGATTTTGAAGAGAAAGAAAAGAACAGAGTAGAAACATAATTTTCTATTCAAATTCTCTTGTTTGTTTGCAGAAAAGGGAGGGGGAGAGAAAAAGAGAGGGAGGGAAGTGAACAATTTTCGCCTCCATTTACGCAAGAAAATTTTATTTGTAATACATAAACCTAAAAATATACAGAGTATTTTTTACTATATCAATTTTTCTTTTTTCTTTTATTTTTTCCCTGTCATTTTCTATTCATCCAAACAACAACAATCTCTTCTCGCCTTTTCTTTCTTCTCATTTTTTCTCCTTTCATTTTCTTTCTAATCCAAAGAATGCATTAGACATAATGAGTCTGTTTGGAAATAACATTAGAAATTAGTATTAACATTTTGAAAATGTTGTCTATGCGTAGCGTTTAGTATTTTCAAAGTTAATCTATCCCGCTAAATTTTTTTTATAATACTAACGCTAATCGAACATGTTATTCCCAAACGGGAACGATCTAGACTCTAGACTCTAATCAAAATGTAACTTAGGCAAGTATAAACAAATTATTACTACCAAGTACGAGTATTTAATTTTAGAAATAAAAAATTCCGAAAAAAAAAAGAGGTAGCAATAATAGGACGGAAATACCCTTGACAAGAGGCAGACCAGTGACTGCATATGATTCCTGGCGATTGAATCTCCCACAAAGGCCAAAGCCTTTCCCCTGACGAGTTCCAGGAACTCGACCGGGTCAAAAACGGGCAGCTCGCAGCCGTCCGGCTTCCACCGCCACCTCAAGTAGCCATTGTCCGGCTGTCCGAACTTCTTGCAATTTTGGGTTTCCTGAATCTCCCAGCAAGTCTCGTTGCTGTAAGAAGGAGCGGCGGTCGGGTCGGGAACCCAATCCCCGGTGGAAATGTCGCATCTTCTGGCGATCTCGGCCGCCGGCGCCGCGGCTTTGCTGTTTCTGCTCGGCTCCGGCCCGGTTCCGCCGTCGGGGGAGGTAGAGAGGAATAGATCGAGTTCGTGGACAGTTGGGGCTCTGTTGAAGGTGTAGTAAAGCGGGAAGGCGGCGAGGACGACGACGGTCAGAAACAGGGGTAGGATTAGTTTGGGAACAGTCTTGTTGTCGCTGTGATTCTTCCCGGAGGGGAAAAGTTCCATTGAAGAAGATATTCCGGTGCTTAAATGAGTTAGGTGGGGTCTTTATTTCATATAGTCCCTGCCTCCAATATAAAATTTTGGAAAATATGGTACCTTCACAAACAAAACAAAATGATTATAAACTTGACAAATTTAAGGTTTCTTTGGTACACGGGATTTGATGAAATTGAAATTTTATAGAATTATTTGAGTGGAGTTGAATTATCTAATTTCAATTTGTGTTTGGCACTACTACTTCAAAATCAACATATTTTTGTGCTACCAAACACTACAATTAAAATTGTTATCTCCAATTCTAATTCCATAGTTTGAATTCTGGGTATCAAACGGAGTCTTACTATTTATGGTTTAAATTCTCATTTTAAAATTATGTTAGACTATTTAATTTTTTTTTTTTGAAATTCACAAATAACAAGTTTGTAAATTTTGTGACTATTTTATTTGTGAATTTAGAATTTCTTAATTCGGAAATGATTATTTTGACAATCACTCAAAAAATATTCTTATCATATCTTGTTTTATAGAACTTTTGATATAATTTTAAACAATATAATTTGTACTTTTTTATGGTATTCCAATTTGAAAACGAAACGAAAAAAATAAAAACATACAAAATGATTATTCTAGAAAAATGTAAACGTAGCTATTGAATGCGCTGAAATATGATTAATTTACACGATGTCCAAAAACATGTATTTCTTTTTTTCTCTTATTGTTTTAATTTTATTATTAATTTTTTGAAGATTTAAAATAAATTACTTTTTATTTCAAAGCGCGTAAAAATATATTTGAGACGAATGTAGTACATATTTATTTTTCACTTTATTTGGAAAAATGGCATCAATGTCTCCATCTTTGCCAAAAATAAAAAAAATGTGTGTACAATATTTTAAAACTACGCAAATTTTATAAATAAATTACAAAAATAGAAACGGGATTGATGTCTGTTTTCAAAAGTAATCCTAACTATAAGAATACTGGATTTATTTTGCCCTCATTTAAATTGAACCATTATGATGCTTTATTCGAAAATTTGATGTCCTACTCTCACGATATTCTATGTCACATTTGAGTAAATTCTATAATTGATCCTTTATAACAGGGGGTTTCCCTATTTAGTCATCTATTATCAAATATTACTCAAGTGGTCCTTCTTTTATGGGTACCTTTCCACAAATAGTCCTTTTTTTGATTTTCTATCATGTTAGTGTTAATTTGAGGGCTAAAAGTGTAATTTCACAATGATAATATATCTTTTTTGTCATACACAATTTCAAAGGTTGTTCCGTTTGCGTCGTTTGTGAATTATAGTCGTTTTTTACGACAACTATAGTCTACAAATGTGATCTTTCGTCAGAATCCTATCCCACAATCATAGTCATTATTTTTGTGTTATCCGCTTAACCAATATCAGAACACGTCACTAGACATAATGTTGACATCAAATTATACTTTTAGTCTTTAAATTAACACCAACACGGCAGAAGATCAAAAAAAAGGATCATTTGTGGAAAGGTACCCTTAAAAAAAGGACTACGGGGGTAATATTTGATAATAGAGGACTAAATATGGGCAGGACCAAATATGGAATTTACTCGTCACATTTGATGTTGTTTTTGATCTGTTCTAATTTGATTAAGTATGATCTGATTTGATTGTAATTGGGTCTACTTTGGTTTTAATAAGAATAATTAACAAATTAAAAGGGACGGTCTCTTAGAGTCTTAGTTATCGTTGGTGAGTATATTGGTGAAGCACGAATGTCGTATTCACGAAGATAGTGTTATTGATTAGCAGTTGAGTGCAAGGTGCAACTAAACACTAATATCAAATCATATATTATGAATCAGCACCAAAAAAGAGAAAAAAGTAGATGATATGCAAGTGAATGAAATTAATCTAATGCATTAAACAACTAAAATAAAGTGCAGGGAGTAAAATAATGAAAGTAAGTTTAGATTAAGAATTTCATGCTAACAATGAAATTATGAAAATCACCAAAGGAATAAAAGAAAACGAGAAATCAACTAGAGAACGAGGAAATCACACAGATTCTTACTAACGTGAACGATCAGTAAAGAATCATCTAGATAAGAGCTTGCTAATTTAGAAAATAGACACTACTGACCATCTATTTCAAGAACTTATTTATAAATTTTTTTGGGGTTTCAGAGCATAGCACACAACCCCTCTCATTGTTTGTCCGGTCATTTTTTGATAATTATTCAACGAAGAAGGGACATTAGTGTCTCTCTTTCAAACCACAAGGGCAACAGAGTTCATTTTCCATTTTCCTTATATGTTTTGGCTTTTTCCCTTTTTATCACTTTTTTCCTTCCTTTGTTTACTTTGTTAAGAAGGTTTTTAATTTCTTTTCTCAATTTTTTAAATAATTTTTAAAAATTTCAAAATCATTTAGGTTTGAAATAAAGAATAAAAAAAATAAAAACATTAACATATACTTTAGCTATCTCAAATTAAACATTGTCATTTTTTTTGTTTTTCGAGAATAAAAAGAAAAAGCTATTTTGGGAAGTAAAATTAAGGAAAAAAGAAATAAAATACAAATGGAAAAGAAATAAAAAAAATAAAAAGATGAAAATACTATTAAAAAACAAAAACATTATATTGCTATTGAGTGTGCTAAAAAGTTCCTTTTCTAGACGTCTGAAAAAGTATTATAATTGGAATGCCTCTGAAAGGTTATTTCTTTTAATTTTAAAATTAAAAAGAGGATTTATTTCAATTTTTTGAATCTATTAGGCGCTGACGCAAAAAAGAATTGTTTTAATCCAACAGATTAAAAAATGACTTTTTTTAAGTCTCCAAAAATGAACCTTATCAAAGCATTTGATGGCTACATGTTTTTCAATACGGAGTATGTGTTTCTTTTCTTTCATTTCCTCTCTCTATTGTATTTTCTTTGAATTTGTTTTTTTTCTATTCCTATTTTTTTTGAAGTTCACAAAAAAAGTTTTACTCCGTACCATTTATTTTGAAAAACAAAAATATATTTTTAAAAAGTTGAGATAGATGTAATACATGTAAATTTTTCATTTCATTTATTTTTTATTTAAAATTCTGGAAACTTTGAATTTTAAAATATTATGAAAAAAATTTAAAAAAGTATTAAAAAAGTGCAAATATTTCAAAAAATATATAGAGAAAGAAACATAGAAATAAAAAAGGAAAAACATAAAAAAATAAATGAAAAATAACAAATAATGTCTGGTACCCTTTGTGATTTGAAAAATTGACAATAATGCTCTCAGTTTTACCCAAAAAGAATTGCCAGAAAAAAATTAGAAAGGATATATGGAGTATGTGCAATGTTTTAAAATTATAAGAATTTATAAATAAATTTAAAAAAGAGAAGAGTTTGAATGCCTATTTCTCGAAGTATTTCTTCCGTCCGCAAATATTCTTCTCATTTTTCTTTTCTTGGTCAAATTTTGTAAACTATGACTATGATATGTGAAAAAAATACATTATATTAGAATATAACTTTTATACGAATATATTCATTTTGAAATATAGTTTTCAAATATCAAATTTTTATAAAATATATCCATGTATAAATAAAGATATTAGTGGTCAAAGTGTAATCTTAAAGATCGTAAAAAGTCAAATGAAAAGAAAATTTCCGAACGGAGGAAGTATGTATTAAGCCTAAGAACCAAAGTCAACACCGATTTCCCCTATGGCCCATTTCCCACTTTCCTGGCCAAATTCAGGAACCAAAAAAGTGGAATAACACATGATTTTAGTTCACTTTTGACTTAAATAAGCATATTTAGACAATTTTCCTCCGTTTAAGAAAATTTGTCTCTTCTTTTGCTTATGTCGTGTGTACTGACTGTACTCCCTCCAATATTTTCCAACTTTTTTTTACCGCAGTTAACTCTTCTTAGCTAATACGGAATAATTTTCTTGATCCAAAGTAATCCGTTATTCTTAAAAAAATGTGTAAAATTTAACTTTTTATAAAATTAGTTTATTTTTAAAGTTGCATAGAAAATTAGAAATCAATATACAAATTATACATTTTAGAATTATATCAAACATTTTATAAAACAAGCAATAATGATAGGAATATTTTATTTTATAAAATAATAATTAAAAACAGGCAAATGAATAAATGTTTCATTCATAGTGGATATCAATTAAATGATAAACTCTTGATCGAGTATTTTTAAATTAGTATTTGTTTTTTACTCTTCTATTTATTTCTATTTATTATGGACTGAATTTAATATGTGATGTTCCAAATTTAAATGGGAATTAAATAAAGAAAAATTGTTCTCTTTTTTTAAAAAATAATCTCATCTTTTACTGTGATGCATGCTAATCCCAATTTTTATGAATACTAAAATAACATAGGCCTAATTTGCAAATTAGGTCTCTTTTATTTCAAAAAAAAAATCGAGGCCTAATTTGCACAGAAAATTGAATGTTGGATTTATTTTTTATGAATTTTTATTTTTTGTTTTTTGTCTGTTTTTAAAATTTTCTTTAAATTTTTTTTAAATAAGTTTTTTCCTTCATCATTTCCTTTTATTAAAAATTATTCTTACATAAAAAAATAGATTTAAAAAATAAAGATAATAAGAAAAACAACTAAAACAATATAAAATTAATGAAATAAAAAATCCAGAACAATCAGCCTCAAACTGATAAGAAATAAAAATAAAATATACAGAATGATGGGTTCTAACATTATCGGCACTATATGTGGAGTATAAATGTATTGCTTTCTCTCGTTGGTAAACAAATGAAGATAAAAATAAAAAACAAGAAATAAAAAATATTTCTTATTTAAATCTTAAAACATGATGAACTGCATACACTGTTTTCAAATTCGTGTTTAATAAATGTTTGAGTTTTATTCAGATTCGTATTCGGATTTAGATTTAAAAAAATTAAATGTGAAGCATAATACAAATCACGATCGAACAAAAATAATTTGGTCAATTAGCATCAAATCTCGATCCGCCTTTAAAGAGACATGGCGCATTAGGTAGTACTTTGTTCGAACATGGGACAATTGCAACGCTAGCATGCATGCTACATATATATAGATGGTTCGGCAAAGAATTGAATAATGGGAAATCAAATGAGAAATTTACCTAAATAAGACTAAAACATAATGACTTTCCCCATATAGGACCATATGTTTTTATTTCTCAATGTATCCTATTTAGTGCAAATTTCACAAATCAAATCACTTTGTACAAAAAAACCAATATCTAGCAGTACACACTAATTAAATTTTTTAAAACTTTGCATTATCTCTCACTAGAGGTCGGTTCTCATGACATTGGAAATTAATGTCATGACATGACTCTAGGATGTTCCAGTGCCCCATTCGTAAAATCGTCGGTTCCTACCCCTAACCTCGATCGATAGACCTCTCACTCTCTTCGTTGCACCGAAACACCCCCAGATGATCTCATGACATCGATTCTCAATGTTATAGAACGAAAGGGCTCCTCTATTATACCTCTCTTCTTATCAACTCATACAAGAAATCGTTCCACGAATCTATCGGCCCCGGCAAGCACCAATGCACGCAGTCGCTGGGGACATTACTAGCGTTAAGACTCGCCGGCCGCCCGAACTTCCCCGGATGTCCGTCCGGCCGCAACAGCATCGGCAACGTCGTGTCGAACAACCTCAATCTCATCCCTTTTCCCCTCCCTACCCTCTGGGCGGACCTCAGTTCCTCGAGCTGGATCCTGTAGTACTCCAAATTATAACCATCCAAAACCTTCTCCCCCCTCCCGAACGGTCCGGTCCGCACGCAGTCCCCGCCCCGGTCCCACCGCCCGTTCTCAAAGTGGGACGGCGCGAACGTCCTCAGAAACGCCACGCCCCGAAAACCTTCCGTGCCGGTGATTGCACGGAAGGCCGTGCGGAAGGCGTGGCGGTAACTGAAGGTGGACGGGAGGTGGGTGACGTTAGGGGTGGGGGGGCAGTACTGGCAGCCGACGAGGCTGCCGTTCAGGTAGAAGAAGGTGGGGCGGGAGAACCAGTGGCCGGCGGAGATGACGGCGTAGTCGAAACCGCCGATTTGGGTGGTCCATGATTGGTCGAACTCGTCGAGGAAGAGGTTGAATGGGCGGGTGACGTCGTTGGGGTCGGTCCTTTGTGTCCGGACCAAATAGGGCGACCAGAAAATGGTGATGTTGAAGTCGTACTCTCCGTATTCCCAACGTTTGAAGTTTTCGTCTTCTGTTGTTGAAACATCCACAGGCCTTGCAACCTATAGGGGGTTAAGATAAATTAATTAATGCAAACATCTCATTATAAAATTTACCTAAATAGCACTAAAATATAACGACTTTCCCTAAATAGCATCACATATATTTTGTTTCATTGTAGCACTTTTAATCATTATACATTAGTCATTATTAAAGTAATATGATATTTCATTGCATATTACTTCCTCCGTCCCTAAATAAACTTTCGTTTTTGACTTTTTAGGAAATTAAGGGAGGGATATTTTGGTGTTGATTTTCCAAAAATATCCTTGATGTGATGTGTAAAAGTAAGATGTGATATGTAGATTATTAGTAAAAAGGTATGATGTGATAGGTAGAGTATGAAAAAGTAAGAGATAAAAATGGTTTTTTAAGTAAAAAGAGAAGTTTATTTGGGGACAAAGAAAAAATAAAAAAGGAAATTTATCTAGGAACCGATAAATCACAAGAGGCAAAGGATGACTTACGGAGGAGAGGAGGCAAAGCAATGACTGCATGTGATTCCTGGCCACCGAATCCCCCACAAAGGCCAGAGATTTCCCTCTGACCATTTTCAAGAACCGGTCCGGGTCAAAAACGGGCAGCTCGCACCCATCCGGTTTCCACCTCCACTTCAGATACCCGGTATCCGGTCTTCCGAACTTCATGCAATTCTGATGCTCCTGGATCGCCCAGTCACACGTCACGTTCGTGTAATACGGTCCCTCCCGGTCCCCCACCCATTCCCCCGCCGACAGATCACAACCGCCCCCTCCCGCCACCTCCGCCGCCAAAACCCTAACGTCGTCGTCCTCCTCCGCCTTCGTTTCCGTCCTCTTCGCGGCCACCAACGTTGTCTCACGGCGGCGACGTTGCCGTCTCCTTGGCCGTTTCTTTGACCTCCTTCTCGTGCTGCTTTGAGTAGCTCCCTTATAAGGTCCTTATTTAAATCAAACCAAAGATTACTTTGTATTTAAAAAAACAATTAAATATATCGTCATATACTTTATTCTTGCGCGATCCATAAAATTTTTCGACCTCTTCAAAATTATCCAAAGAGCAATGCTAGGGGTAGGTGTACCCCTAACGTACATCACCCCCTTCTCCACCACCTATTTTTATTTTATTTTTATTTATTTAATTTTTTTTGAATTTCTTGCCTTTTTTTGTGTGGACAAGGAGAGGGTGTGGAACAAATGGGATACACATTTGGTGTACTCCTAACATTTTTTCTTATCTAAAGTATTCTCAAAATAGAGTAAAGTATCAAAATAGGACTTTCATGTTTTTTTCTCGAAATAGGACTTTGTATTGTGGTAATGTGACTTTGCACTGTGATAATGTGAAAGTGTATATGTGCACATTAGTATACATTTTTGGTAATGTATATGACCATGTTTGGTAATGTAAGCCTATTTCGGAAATAAAAACATGGAAGCCCTATTTTGGTATATTTTCAATGTTTTAGTCATACTTTGGTCTTTCTCCCATGATAAAATAAAATATTCTTGTTACCACTTGTTTTGTTTAACTTTTGATGTAGTTTTTAAATATGTATGTTTTTTTATTTCTATACCAATATTTACATAAAATAGATTGAAAAACTTAGGATTTTTATTCGTTTTGCGCAACGGGAAGAAAGATATAAGACGGAGAGAGTATTAAATGTATGATGAGAGGGGCAACGAATTAGGGGCAAAGAATTAAATGATGAGACTAATATCAGTTCCTATATTTGTCTCATTGTCTAAACATATATTTAGCGACGGAAATCCGTCTCTATGCCCATTCGTTTGGACAGAATTCTTTAGAGACAGAAATCTGTCTCTCTTTTCTGTCTTTTAAGTCCTAAAGGTTGCAGTTGTGAGACGGATGAGAGACAAACAATTTTAGGGACAGAAATCCGTCTCTTTTCTCCGTCCCATTTAAGTATACATTCTTGTAGTGTCTACCCCTAATAAAGGAGATATATGGTGAATCATAGATATTATATAAATCATCCTAAATAGAACTAAAATATAGAGAAAAGTACTAAAATAAAACTTTCATGTTTTTTTCTGAAATAGGACTTTGCACTGTGATAATGTGATACTGTACAAGTGCACATTACTATACTTTTTTGGTAATGTACATGACTATGTTTGGTAATGTAAGTCCTATTTCGAAAATAAAAACATGAAAGTTCTATTTTGATATATTTTCAATGTTTTAGTTCTACTTTGATCTTTCTCTCTAAATATTATAGATATGTATAGAAGTTAATTTAGGGATGTATAACAAATGAAAGAGACCATATTTTTTAGTGAAATTTTCCCTAAATAGGACTAAAACATAATGACTTTCCTAATATAGGATTTAAACTTTTTTATTTTCTAAATAGAATTTAATAATGACCTAGTGGGAAGAATAATGTCCAGTAATGATGGACATTTACTTGAATAATGAATACTTCATAATGACTAAAGGTCCATACATTGAGAAAGAAAAACATGGTCCTATATTGGGAAAATCATTATGTTTTAGTCTTATTTAGGAAAATTTCTCTTATTTTTTATATTATTTTCTTTTACGAATAATGCCCTTACCGTTGGTGTTATTTGTTGTGCCCTCGTCTTCACCGCGGCCATTCTTTTCTATTTCCACCGTCATGGCGGTGGTTTCTGACGGCGGCGGTGGCGACTGACTTTCGCCGCTACGATCGTACAGTCGACCATCAGAAAGCTCTCCGGCGTGTTCTTCTTCTGCATGTTTTGTTACAACGTCGGACGCGACGTAACTATCATCGGAAGAAAGGATGAAGGACGAGGGGGAATTCGTGTCGCCGGAGATGTCGCGGTGGGAATATCGGACGATTGAGATGACGGTGAAGAAAAGGACGATGGGTACAAAGGGGAGAATAATCTTTGGGACGGTTTTTCTTCGTGCTTGGGGTTTCCCGGCGGGAACCTTCATCGGCTGTGCGGCGAGGAAATTAAGGAGAGTGGCATTTTTATTATTATTGCTTTTTTTATTATAACAATAACATGTTACATTATTGCTGGTTAACGACGAATCGAAGGAAGGAATATCGAAGGAAAAACTAAAGCGTGTGGAGTGTTGCATGTTTTGCGCTTTGCTTCACAAACAAATAATTAACTCTTTAATTTATTCATGTCTTCTTCCTCAATAATGTTACGGAATATTTTCTTATAATTAAGTTATTACGTAGTATTATGATGTACTTTACATATTTGGTAGTTATGGTTCGAGTATAATTATGGTGCGTAAGAGTAGAACTTTACTTAATTATTTGATTTTCTCTCTTATCATATAAAGGGAGAATATTCTTTGTATTCATCAAAATATTTCAATATACACAATATTTTTTTCCTAATAGGAAGTACTCCCTCCGTCCCTCTAAGATATTCTCATTTTGACTTTTGGTGGTTTTTAAGAGAGTTGAAAAAAGGTGAAAGTTTACCATAATACCCTTAATGAAAAATGGGTGGAGTGTATTAAATGAGGTGGGTGAGGTGTAATAAATAAAGTAAGTGGGGGTAGTTGTGGTATTTTAATTGTTAAAAAATGAAATGAGAAGATCTATTGTGGACAAAGAAAAAAGGCTATTGGGAAGATCTAAAGGGGATAGAGGGAGTATTATATATTTTATCGCATATTTTTTCATCTATTTAAAAAGAATATATTTTTTTAATAAAAATTTCTCAAAATTTTTATGTCCTAAAATTAACTTTTCAGTTTGATTTTTATGTTCAAATTTTTTAAACTTTGACCGTATATTATGGAAAAAATAAATTTAATTTTATATAATTTAAATTTAATATAAATATATTAATGGACAAAGTGTTACATCGAAGACCATAAAAAGTCTAATGTATTATTTTGGGAGTTAATTTTGGGATGAAATGAGTATATATGAAATCATGTATTATTTCTAAAAATACGTATATACATTCAAAACATTTTTAGAAAAACTTCTAACAATGCATGCATGAATTTGGTCAATTTCTTTTCATTGGTTCGTAGTTGAATTGAATTAAGCTACCGCCTCACGAAAAAAACATACTCCAAATAAAATATAGATTGTTGCATGGATGGATTGTCAGACTCGGAAGGTTGTCGTTTCAACAAGTTCGGATCCGTTGGACCATTAGGATCCAATTCATCCAGGCCCATTTCCAAAGGGCCCATAATTTTTTTTCTTAATTGTACTAGTAGCAGTGTTCTTCTTAATTGTACTAGCCCATTTACAAGCCACTTTTAATCTCTACTCTCCACTTCATCTAATTTGATCCATTTGTAAACTGCTCTGCATAAGTGCACATACATCCGTTTGAGTAATCGTTTATTCATACATCCGATCCGTTTTATAAGACTAAAAAATATTACGGAGTACTATTCAGCTAATGGGTGTGAATCATGCCATCATGCCCATTGCCTCATCCCTCCCAGCATCACTCAGTGCAAGGTCAATTTTTCTCTTTCATACCACAACACATCACACCACAAGGGTGTGAATCATGCCCATAATGCCTAATTTTTTTTTTTAAAATAAACTCTACTTCTTTAAATTTTTAAAAATTATACAGGAAGAGTATTATCCTCAGTAAATCTCCCATGATGTATTATCCAATGTTTTCCTCTCCAAATACCATAACATCAAGCTGCCCAATTAGCCATATTCTTCCTTCTTTGCATTTTTCCTTTAATCTTTTGTACACTACCTTCCAATTCTTCCATGCTTCTCATCTCCAATGTCATATTAAACCTGGAAAAAACAGCAAGGTACACTTTCTTTGCAAAGGGGCATTGCCAAAATAAATGCTTTTCAATTTCCACTTCTTTCCCACAAAAAGAGCAGCTCGTGTCAAGTGATGAGTAGTTTTGAGTGGTATACTTTATATTCTTTCTTTTTATACCAATTTGTAATTAAAATAATTTTAAAATAAAATTCCCTCCGTCTCCCTAAGATGTTCTCATTTTGACTTTTGGTGGTTTTTAAGGAAAGTTGAAAAAAGGTGAAAGTTTACCATAATACCCTTAATGAAAATGGGTAGAGTGTATTAAATGAAGTAGGTGAGGTGTAATAAATAAAGTAAATGAGAGTAGTTGTGGTATTTTAATTATTAAAAAATGAAATGAGATGATCTATTATGGACAAAGAAAAATGGTTATTAGGAAAATCTATGGAGGACGGAGGGAGTAAAATTTTACATGTTCAAAAAGTGATATCGATTGTGAGACGGAGGGAGTACCTCATAATCCATATTTTCTTGGAAAGACAAGAAAAAATCGACAACAATAGGTTGAGAATGTATGAAAAAATAATACCTTCTAATAGAATTATTAGTGTTCAAAAAATATATTCATTACACATTAAAAACCCATTATTGTAGAGAAGTGGACAAAAAAGGGAAAATGGGAAGCTGAGGACGGCACAAATGACGCAAAACGGAGGGAAATGTAGTTGTTAAAACTTTTTTCTCGTTTTTCTTTTAAAAATAAATGTGACTCATAATATATTCCGTTATTCTAAATAAATCCCAACAACTTTTTATTCAACAGCAAAATTCTTAAATAAGGTAATCATAAATGAAGGAAAACTAAATTATGCAAATAAAGACTATAAATAAATTTGGACTGTGAAAGGGTTGTGCTGGTGGAAGAAAGCTCTCAATGTGAAAGTAGAACCCTTTCTACATAGAAATAAAAACCGAAAACACCCACCTAGACTAAACATGTTCTTTGAAAGTAAATAAAAAAAATACGTACAATACTCCATGGGAGGGCTACCAAACGGGACGGTAATACGATAGATAATGCCTCTGCATGTCCTTACAGTGTAGGCACGACCATGGTTGCAATGGCGGATCCAGACAATATTCGTGTATACATCGAACCTGGCAAACATGACAGTAGATGAGAAGTTCCTCTGGTGCTCGCGAAAGGCATTGGCAACAGACTGGAGGCATTGTTGATGTCTGCATAATAACCCCCAAAAAGGAACCAAACTAAACTGAGATGGGAAACCACTTGAATTAATTAAGAACGATAATCGCGTTAGAAATCAGATTTTCTGCTTCCATATCTATACATGCTCGAATGAAATGTATCTTATCAAAGGGAAATGTGGGAAAAATGTAACAGAGTGGGACATCACTGGTAGGTAAAGAGACAGAATGACACTTACGTTGGCAGGAAAATGAGATGTTCCACCATCAGGAAGGATATAAATGTCACTTCCCGGACGGTCGTGAGGAATAGTTTGTGAATATATTTTTTGGTCCGAGGACACAACGGCGTCGACCTTGGTGATCCAAGCAAATTCAACCTTGCAAAGAGGACATGTTGAAGTTTTTCCACATGATACCTGTGACAATGACATTTACATCAACGGGAATGGAATTATATGTAGTTATCAATGTATGTAACTCCACACAAAATGAGTTCATTGTACGATAGCGGCAAGCAAAACATGCACAAATTACGTAGCAGATGGCCCTTTTGGTGAATTTAAGTTTTGGCTTATCAGCCAGTTTTGTTTTTACCAAATGCACGGACTATGTTACAATGCTTTCATGATGAAACAAGTTGAGTATAAGTTTTCTGTTTTATTTTTCTTGCTCTAATGGAACAATACGTAGGAAATTGTTAATCATAAATTTATTTTTGATATTACTGCCTATGTTCCAACGTATTCATTTAGTTTTACTTTTTCAACAAACTGTACAAACTTTAATTATCAATTAAATAAAAATTAAATTGCATAGTTATACAATGAAATAATTTTTTGAAAGTTTCTTGCAAGATAAATTTAATGAAATCAATTTTGGAATAATATGCAATACAATGTTTATTTAAATGATGATGATCATATTTCATCTGCGTTGACTCCGAAAAGTCAAATTTACACCGGATTTAAATTCATTTAAAAGCATATTCAAATAATTGTTAATAAATAATATACTATATTCAACCATTTCCGCTATAACTTAGTAGATAAATTCAACCAATTTAAGCCTTACCAAACAGGGTCAAAGCTGGAAACAAAGGTCAGAAGTCATAACCAAAGCTGGAAAGGAAATATAAAAGGGTGAAGTTTACCATTTGATCTGCCCAGCTTTGGATGCACGAGAAACAAAAACGGTGGCCACAAGGTAGCAACCCCCGGGTTGAGCTGAAATCTGTCCAGCATATGACACACGAGCGCTCTGGCGATGTGGGCAATCTCACACAATTTTCACCTCTCTCATCTACACCAACATCCAGCATATGCTTTGGTGGTGAATTGAATGGAGATAATGGATTGTCACCATTTGGGTTTGTTGTTGAATTTTCACCATTGATCATAGTTAGAATTTCTTCAGGATCATCAGTCCTCTTCTCCAGGTCCTCCGCATTGCTGAATTTTGTTGTTTCACTCTCATTTGATATGCCTTCATGCTCAACATTTATATCGTTAGAATGCAAGATACCTTCATCTTCTGGCAGAGATTGAATTTGTGGGCTTTGTTCTGAATTTGAAATCTCTAACACATCCCTAATATTCTTTTTCACCAGTCTACGACGTTTAAGAGATGTTTCAGGCAATTCCTTGTCCCTCTTTTTTGGTGTAAGAAATAGTGGACGCTCAGGACTTGGTTCCTCTGTCTAGATACAACTCATACAAGGTGAACATAATCAGTCCCGACCTTAAGACATTGTTCACCGAGTCACAATAACAGAATAAAAAATGAAGCCTAACTAATGTGTGTAGACAGTAGCAGAGCATATTGTGTTACAACTTATAAGTTCATTGCACAAACTGATCAAATTTCATACCTCCGTCCTACATGAGCCTGATATAGAAGGACCATCAAGTCGATGTCTGTTGCTTAAGTTATGGTTATGCTTAAGACATCGTCTTTTCTTTTCCTGCCCAGATTTATGCTTTTCTATTTCATGATCGGGAATATATTCCTTCAAAAAGTTAGCACATGAAAGAAAAGAACTAGAGTTACTTTCATAGCAGATTATTTCAATTACCTGAGAGCAATAATTTCTTTTTGATAATGATAATTGCTAAAAATGGAAGATATTAAGGGCCATTTCAATGAGATATAAGTATTAAGATAAACTAGCTCCCACCATGCAGCAGCATTCCTAATAATGACCTAGCCCTCTATGGGGTTCACTTCTAACCTTAGGAGAAAAAAAGACAT